AAGCGCCCTGACCCTGATTTTTGACCCAGAGGAAGGTGAAGGGGCGTGAGGACTCCAGACACTCTGACTCAGGCTCTGTTTTCCTCGGTCCTTCGTTGGCCCCCATAACTCTATCCCCTGAGGCCATGGGTCCCGGGACAGGGACCTGAGTTCAGAGGGGCTCAGAGCTCTCCAGGGAGGTAGCTGGACAAATCAGGAGGGCCTGGCTGAGGTGGACAGGGAGCTGACAGTGGCCTGTGACCTGGGGTCAGGAGCCGAGATCTGGAGTAGGTAGTGATGGGGTATCCAGGTTGACTCCCTGCTGTGACCTTGGACAAGTCACTCAGGGTCTCTGGGCCTTGGTGTCTCCATTCTTAGGACAAGGAGTATAATAGGCTCTTCCTCCAAGGGTAGAAGGCAGTGATAGGTAAGGCCTAGAGAGCATTTAACTGGGGACCACCTGGAAAGAATGCCCCAAAGCCGTAGCCAAAATCAAAGTCCTTTTCCTGTGACCCCAGGAGGAGAAGGGAGAGCCTGGGCTAAGGAGGCCCCAAGGAGGGGAGAGCCTGGGCTAAGGAGGCCCCAAGAGTGGCCCAGACTGAGCAAGATGCAGGGAGAGAAAGGAATATGGAAGAAAGTTCCCAGACGCCCAGGGAATGGGGCAATGGAGTTACAGTCAGCTGAATAAGGCCCCCAGAGGTGTCTACCTATTAACTCCCAGAATATAGTTTTTTACCTGGCAACAAGGGTTTTGCAGATGTGCTGGAATTAAGGACCTTGTGGTGGGGAGGTGATCCTGGATTATGTGGGTGGCCCCAGGTAGAGTCTTTCTCAAAGAAGAGGGAGGCAGGGAGTCAGAGAGAGAGAGGAGTTGTGGCTGTGGAAGCAGAGGTTAGAGAGAAAGGGAGAGAATTGAAGATGCCACTGCAGCTTTGGCAAGAGGGAAGGAGGTATCACAAGCCCAGGAATATGGTCACAGATTCTCCCCTGGAACCCCCAGAAGGAGCGGCCCAGTGATACCTTGATTTCTGCCTTTGGGACCTGTTTCAGACCTCTGACCTCCAGGTCTGTAAGATAATAAGTGTGTGTTGTTTTCAGGAGCTAAGATTGTGGTGATTTGTGACAGCAGCCACAGGGAATGGACTCAGGGAGCCAAGGGAGCAACTTACCCAGGACACTCAGTGCGGCCACCACTGAATGGTGACATGCCTGGCCCACCCCCACGTAAAGCGTCCCCAGAGTGCAGAGAGGGGAGCGGGAGCCCAGGGGCCCAGCAAGAAGGGCTGTGGGTGCTGGGGCCGGGTCTACTCACCACCCCTCATGTCTGAGAGTGGCCAGAACCCCAGGTCTCCGGAGCCCCACAGCACCACCCAGAACATTCCCAGATGGACTCTGCTTTTCCCAGTGACTTCCAGGGTTGAATGGAGAGAATTCTGAATAAGTGATGCTTCCCCTGGCCCCCAGAAGATGGTGGGTGACTTTCTGAGACTCACACTTGGAATAGTACCTCATCTTTCTTTGGCAGAGCTGGGGCACAAATGGGGAGTGGTCATAGGCCCCGGGGTAGCCAAGGGGCCATCAGGCAGAGTGGGCGTGGGTTGGGCCTGCAGTGGGTGTGGGGTGCTGGGACTTGGCTCCAGGGGGTCCATTCTAGATCCAGGGGCAGGAGCTTGCCTGGTGGGCATGCACTGGGCCGAATCAGGGGACTGTAACTAGGTAACCACCCCCGCCCCACCGGACTCTGGTGACCTGGCGGTAATGGAGACAGGAACAAAGGGGGTTCTCCATCAGAGGCAGCGGAATCGTCCTCAAGGTCATTGATGTATCCTGAGGCAGCTGGAGGGTTATCTGTGTGTGTGTCTGAGCCCAAGTACCATCCCTGGGGAGGCCTCGGGTGAAACAGATTTCCACTTTTTATTATGGTACAAGATATTGGCCTTGGCATTGAGACACCGGTTTCCCTTCAGCAGGGTGTCTTTCTCAGAGAAATTGTGGGTTACCTATTTCCCTCCTTGCACTGGTTCCTGGGGAGCTCAGAGCTTTTGCAGATGCCCAAACCTCCCAGCAGGCCTTATGTGCAACACTTTCTTCCTGGCTTCCTTCTATTCCTCTTAAATCGCTGAACCTGCCATCTGGTGAGGAATTCAAGTGACCCCCAGATTCAAGAGCCTGTGAAATGGAGCTACTGGAGTGTCCTGGACCCTATGGGTGGTCCAGCCTGAGGGAGCGACAGGGAGGGGGTGAAGTGGACAGAAGCTGAGCTGGGCAGGGTGGGCGGAGGAGGGCATAGGGGGACAAAGGCCAGGAGCAGAGGGGGCCCAGATCAGAGCAGGGTTTCCACGTTGAGGAAAGAGAGGACACCAGGGTGTGGAGGGTCCCCACAAGGTCAGGGAGGTAGAGCTTATCTGGAGGTCATAGCCATGGCCCCTCTGACCAGAGAGCTAGGAATGGGCATGGTTCTGTGCTGGAGGAGGAATGGTGGAAGGAGAGGACAGAGAGACAGAGGTTCTAGTGACCAGACTCCTCATATCCCGAGAGATGCCCCAAGGAGAGTGTGGGCTGCTCCTCTCGGGCTACTTTCCTACCTCGATCTCATGCACGTCACCCTGAGAACCCTGGAGAAGATGCTAATCAAGTATGAGACCCAAAGAAATTAGCAGAGAGCGTGATTTCTGATTGACAAAAGGACATTTTACTGAGAGCTGATTGGGTGCCCGGAGCAGGGCTGGGGATGATAGGCGTGAGCCTTGGCAAAAGCTCTCCAGGCCTGTTGGGAGCATCCCAATGCCTCCGTTGGGGGAGCCCTGGCACCCTCTCTTTAGTCTCAGTCCCTCTGCAGCTTCACCTGTCCTCATCCCACCCCTGAGCCATCCCAGCCCTGAGCTGTCTTGTTCCTGGCTTGCATCAGCCTTGAGACCTTAGAGCTCCTTGAGAATCCATCTGTCCTCCAGCATTGGTCTGCCTGAGATCTCCCCCAGGTAACTCTCCCTAGTGTCTTCATGCAGGGTTTCTGTCTGTCCAGCTTGGTCCTTCTGTCTTAACATGGTGTCTGTCTTTCAGGCTCTCCTCCCTTCCCAGCCAGTGAGACCCCAGGATTCCAGGGAGGAGCTTAGCCATTAGCCTGAAGACCACTCGGGGTGGGACATGGTCCACACAAGAATGGTAAACATAGGAAGGAGCAGAGGGTGGGCTGTCCTGTCCTGCTGGCCTGTCTTCTATTCTGGAATATTCTCTTGGCTATTCTGGGTAAGAATGAAACTACCCCATGAGGAAAATTGAAGATTCCTTCTATCCCAGAGGCCAGTGGGGATGGCCAACTGGAGAAGCAGATCTGAGTCCCAGCGACGAGGGCAGGAAGGGGTCACAGGAACTGGCTCATCCTGTACCCACCGGGTGCTGCAGAGCGGGAATAGGCTACAGGGGGTGAGATGGCCAGACAAAAAGTGAACTTTCCAGAATGCCAGAGCATTCAGACCCCAATCAGAGTCAGGACAGAAAGGAGAGAAAAATGCCCCCAAATTTGACTCTGGTCACGAAAGAGAGAATGGGGGAGACTCACCTAGGACAATCACCTGGATCCCTCTGCAGAACATATAACACAGTGACACAGCCTGGAACACAAACCCTCTGTCGCCCCCGGCAGCACACGGCCACCCCGCCAAACCCAGGCCCACCTGCAGCTGCTTGGGAGGCTCAAGGTGCAGCCTCCTCCTTGTGGGGGCTGGTCTGGCCCATGGGAGCTTGAGAGGGGGCTCCCTCCCCACCCGCATCTTCTGGTCCTTGTCGGGGGGTGAGCTTCCCCCTGTCCCGAGCCATGGAGGGGCAGCGGGGAGTGTCTGAGTGACATATCCCATCCCAGGTAGCTTCCCGGAAGGAGCTCTGTGTGTGGCTCAGCTTGCTTGGGGAATGCCACCCGGCAGAGCCGACAGACCTGTTTCCAACACAGACATGATGGGGCCTGTGCCTTTGGCTGAGCGGAGGCCCATGGAGTCTTCTGTATGCCACCACACTTGGCATACACCTAGACACGGGCCCAACCTGGCCATGTGTGCAATAGCAGACATGCGTGTGTACTAGCATGTGCAAGTGACCTGACCGTGCGTGTGCACGTGTCCAGTCTGTCTGTGGGACACGGAGCTGGGTCCCGAGGTCCTGAGGTAGCTCCTAGCACAGCAGTCTTCCTGGTTCTCAGGGCCCATTGCCAACTCCTAAGAAGATGAGCCGGCTCAAGGTTCACAGTTGTCCAGCACACACTCCAGAATGTAAACTTGATGTTGATCTCATGGCCCCAGTGACTACCCACGGACATTTTGGTTTAGTGCTTGTGGTGGGGTCAGTGGTGGATTGGACTCTAAGGGGTCACTGCCTCCCAGGGACCCTGAATACAGTTGGGACCCAATGACACATGTGGGAGGAGGAGGAGTTCTCAGTGGCAGTGTGAGATTGAGTGACTAGGGTCCAGGGACTGAGGGTCTAGTACTGAGTGCGACAGGGACGTCTGTAGATAGGGCACAGGACAGTGTTCCTGGGGAGGCAGGAGCAGGGTGTAACAAGGAAGGGTGAATGCTCTAGGCTGACAATAGGGAATATCTATATGGGGTAGAAAAGCAGCCAAAACATGGAAATGAGGGAGACACAAAGAAAGGAGAGTAGACATCTCAGGAAGGAGCTAGTCCCTGATGGGGAGGCCCCAGATCCAGAAAGGAGATCACACATTATCCAGGAGTCAAAGGAGAACCAAGAGAAGCAGGCTTTGGTGTTCTGGTGACTGATGTGGTTAACACAACAAGAACAAGTAAAGAGACATTGGGGAAGGTGGTCTATCATGGTTCTGTTGTTTGTCTCTACTGCTCTGGAATTTTCTAGGGCCCAACAGGTGAGAGTGAAACTACACTCCCAAACCAGGAGGACGTCTTCTGTAGACCCCTTACCCCCGAGGCAGGAGAGTAATTGTGTTCGCCGCTAAAGACGGTCAAGTTCAGGACACAGAGAGTTTGAGACGCAATGAGCAGAGAGGATGATTTCTGATTGAATAAAGGACACTTTATTGAGTGTTGACGGGGTGCGGGGAGAAGGGCTGGGATGACCCTGCGGGGAGGGAAGATCGTCCTGGAGGTCCTGTGGCTCCAGGCCCCGCTGGGTGGGGGAGGGTGTCGGGGACCTAAGAGCACTGTGAGGGGACCACCTTCTTCTCCACGGTTTTGCCCTCGTGCGTGACCAGGCAGCTGAAGCTGCTGTGAGATTTCCACTTGTCAGGCGACAGGCTCAGGTAGCTGCTGGCCGCGTACTTGCTGTTGCTCTGTTTGGAGGGCTTGGTGGTCTCCACGCCCTGGGTGACGGGGCTGCCGTCTGCCTTCCAGGCCACCGTCACGCCTCTGGGGTAGAAGTCACTGATGAGGCACACCAGGGTGGCCTTGTTGGCGGCGAGTTCCTCAGAGGAGGGCGGGAAGACTGTGACCGAGGGTGCCGATGTGGGCTGACCTGCGGGGCATGGTGGGGGCAGTGGGTCATTGATTCCCTTTCCATTTGCGGGAGACCCTGATGTTAGTGTATCAGGTGGGTGTGGGTCTCTAGGCCCAGGGCATGGGCCCCTGTTTCGGGACCAACCTCTGTCTGAGCAATTATTCTCAAGAGGGTGGCTTGCATCTTCCTCCAACTATTTCCCATCTCTCATGGGTAGCTGTCACACTGTACACCTGCCATCTCCTGACTTGAGAACCCTCTGGGCCCTGGCCTGTCACACAAATGTGTGACCCTCACTCTCTTGCCGTCTTCCTGTGCCATTCTGTCTGTCCCCAGAGTGGATGACAAGAACTCCCTGTGGTCTCCTGTGATCTGGTATTTCTGCTCTGGAGGCCTCTGGATCTTTCCTCTGTGGCAATTATATTTACCCAAATGTATCTCTCTTGAAGTCTGTAATGAGCCAAGGACCCCATAAGATCACGGTCTGCCTGAAGGTTCTTGCGTGTCCCCTCTGCCTTGTCCCTTGGGTTTCCCCTGGCCAGTTGGTCAGTTCAGTAGCCATACTGTGCAACGGGATCTGGCTTTCATTTTGTAATTGGTCGTTTCCCATAAGAGCCAGGAGTCCGTCTTTTCCCCACACCCTGTTGTTCCATGACCCTGTTCCAGGCTTCCTGACTGGAGCACCTTGTCCTCCCTGCTCTCTCCTGTCTTGCCGTGTTGTTTGGCTCTCTGCCCATATAGCGCTGGGTGGCAGCCTGGAGAGGCCGGCGGGAGCCACTCCACCCCTGCAACCATCCTTGGATCCTTGTCCCAGAGCCCTGGGGCCTTCTCAGAACCTCTAACCTGTGTGTCCCCAGCCTAGGACCTGAGGGTGCTGGGTCCCTCTAAAGGCACCAAATGGTCATCCCCCCAATGCTCCCTCTGCCCTCTTCCCTTTAGGATGGCGGACCCCAGTGCTCCCAGAGATAAGGGTGGAGCAACAGGGGCCAGAACAGAGCACACGTAGGACCCAGCACGACCCTGGCAGACAGAGAGAGGAGTTTTTAGTCATCCCAACCATTGCCTGCCTCTCGGGTCAGAGCTAAGGGGCTGGTGATGACCTAGGAAATAAGCAGGAAAATCCATATGGGGAGAGGAGGAGGTCCGGGTCCCAGAGGCTGGGATCCCAGGTGAAAGCATGACCAAGGCTGAGACCAGACGGAAAAGAAAAGAAAAAGAGGCAGAAAATCACCCAAACCTCTGGGAGAGCAGGGAAGGAAGGAGGGAGATGAGGAGACTCACCTAGGACGGTCAGCTGGGTCCCTCCGCCGAACGCATAACACTGTGACACAGGCTCATACAAAAACCCCTCCTGGGAGGACTGTGCCCCACCCACTAGCCCCCCACCTGCAGCTGTGGTGGAGGAAGTGGGGGCACTCCTCTAGGCTGGCGTCTGCTCAGCATGGAGGAGACACACGGCCCCCACCCCTAGCAGATGATAGCACCAGTGACCCCATGTGTTCTGCAGCAGGATCCTTGGAAACCATTCTTCCAAAGGGAGTTGATATCTGATCTGCTCTTGGTTTTACTATCTGCCAGGACGTAGAATAGTTTGTGGAAGGCCTGTGTGTCCTTTTGAGTTAGGTTCCATGGAAAGGAACAGGACATCCCCTCTCAGCATGTTCAAACAACCCCAATTCTTGGTGACACCATGACTTGAGGGCAGAGAGTGTACCCTGCCTCTGAAACCTTCCTTTGCAATTAAAAGAAGGTGGGTATGTGTTCATGGGCCATTGGAACGTTCCTATGTCCCCAGCCATCAGTCTAGAAAGCTCAGATTTTTCTTCTTGGGAATGTCCTAGTGAGGACCTGTCCTAAGTTAAGTCTTGGTTGGTCCTGTAGAGCATGCCAACTTGTGTCCAGGTGACCTTGGGAGCAGCCCCATCCAATCGCTTATCTGGTCTCATGTTGGGAATGGTCTGGTGTGTGACTTCTGCTCTGTTCCTTTCAAAGAGTAATCAATCCCCACTCCTACTAACTGGAACTCGCATGAGTGACTGATTTCACGCCCCGGGTGGGTAGGCACAGATGAGCTAGAGTATATCCTCAATCAGCAAGTAGGAGCTTAGAGATCTCCTCGGGTCATGTGTGTGTACCTAGGAGTCTTCCGAAGAGGCTTTCACTGGACCGATGTCCATATGTGAAGCCACATTTCCATCATGCACAGAGGATGACCTTTGTGTGAACCCCCAAACTGATCCATAAGATCTAAGAGTTTACCAGGTTATCACGCAGTGATAAATCAGTAGGGGAAGATGGAGGGAACTGACCGTCCTTCTATAAAGTGGGGAACAATAGGGAACTATTTACATTTCTTCTTTTCCCTAGATATCAAGGTGTCATTGGGAGAATAAAGAGGAGATCAAGGCAGTCCCTTCATGGGCACGTGCTGCCCTGTCTTCATAGGATAGGGACGACAGAGAGGAAATAATGCCATCATGCACTCTTCCCATCAGATGGTGGAGTCACTGAACCTGCAGGTAGTTAATGCTACCTAGAAAGGTCCACTTGACCTTGGCCCTTTGTTGCTATTACCAACCATTCTGGGTTTTGCCAAGTCTAGGCTGGACCCCCTGAAGCCCCTGATGCCAGAAGCCCTTTGCAAGCACAGGAAGCAGACTGAATGGTTTGGGGGAGGCTGTGGGTTCATATCCTGGTGGGGGAGTCCCATGATCGGCCGTTCTGCCCTCCCCGCCACTACCTTTTAAGGGGAAGTAGAATATTTTGGGAGATCTTACTGACCCAAGGGACCAGAAGATACATCCACCAATGACACTGTCAAATCTGATTCCATAGTCATTAAATGAAAAGGAAATTCCACCAAATAATGTTTACAACATATACACTTAACCAGGGATTCACATACAAATATATGAGGAGTTTCTATAGATCGCTAAGAAAATACAAGGAATCAAATGGAAAAATAGGCAAAAATAGCCCGGAAATTCACAGTAAAAATAAAATCAGTCAAAAAAAATACGGAAGGGAAGAACGCTCAACCACGATCACATAAACAATTAAACACAAACACATCCTCATTAATACTCATCAGGGATGAGCAAATAAAAAGGGTCAACAGTATCACAGTATTGGGAAGGATGTAGAGGAAAGGGCACTGTCATTCACTGCAGTGAATATAAGCTGGGACAGCCTTTCAGAAGGACATTTGGGTAGTATATAAAGAACATTTCAAAAGCACATTCTCTCTGGTCCAATAATTCCAGTTTAGTCATTAGTCATTGGTCCAAAGTAGACACTTAAGTGCACTTCAAGCACACACACAACATATGCACACATATGTGGGTATTTCCATGACAGCATCACTTGTAATTTATATTTTAAATGGAAACAACCTAAATTTCCATTAATAAGGTAATGATTACATACCATCTAGTTCATCCAAAATTTGAAGTCTTACAAAGCCTAATATTATAAGAACATGGGAGATCCATACAGATTGAGATAGAAAACATCAGTAAAAAGCTGTTTAAAAAGCTGGTTGCTGGATTCTATGCAGAGTATGATTCCATTTTTTTCAAATAATGGATGTATAACCAACTAGATGCGTGTGTGCATGTTTTCAGGGACATACCCACATGGGAGAAGGATTAGAAATATATAGACCAACCTGACAGTGGTCATCTCTGGCGAATGGGTTTTAGGGTAAGATGTGTGGAAATGGTAAGCAGAAACATTAGACTTTTTCTTTAATATACTTCTTTGCTTAATCTTTTATTTTTTTTACAAGTACCTGTTACTTTTATATTAAAAATTATTTTAGAAGATAAAAACCAAACATATATCTTCCTGTGAACATTTTCAAAAGTACAGAAAATTAGAAAGCAAAAATTTAAATGAGCTGAAGTCCCATCAGCCAGAGACATACCATTGACATTTTTCTATATTTTTGGACAGTCTTTTGAAAATGTGCACACATTTCAGAAAAAGAAAAAAAAAAAGCCCAATTTCAGAGTTTTGGAGGCTTATGTAAGATTCCCAATGATGGATGTTCCAAAGGTATTTGGTCACACCCTTTCTGTTGGATATTTAGATTATTTCCAGTTTTCTCCCAACATTAATAATGTTGAGCTAGCCATTTTTTTTGTAAACCTTTGGTTACATTTCTGATTATTCCTCCCCTACCCTCACCACTCCATGAATTCCTAGAAGTGTAATTACACAATTTAAATATATATATACTTTTAAAAAGTGACCTGCTGCATATTGTTAAGATGGTTATACATTTTAGACTTTCTATAGAGAGTCCATGAGAGTGCCCATTTCTCCCTGGTCAAACTCTGGTACTTGCTAATTTTATAGGAGATCTTGGTACTTGGCCTTTCCTCCCCATCCCCAAGGTGCAAGCTTTGGCCGTTATCCATCCTTGGTCCTCTAATCTGGCCTCACACTAGTCTCCTATCCGAAAATAGTTTTCCAAACATGAATCCGACCCTGACAGTCCGCTGCTTAAATCCCTCAACAACTCCCCTGTACCCCAAGATCAAGGATGCACCGAATAAAACACAACGCACAGCACGGCGTGGCGTGCATGCTCACCCCTGCTTCAGGCAGGGAGCTCCCTGCTGCACCTGTGCTCCCCGCACACCTGCGCCCATGCGCATTTCTCTCCTCTCAGCCCAGGCGTCTCCCAGTGCCTTGAGGGCCAGCCTCATGCTTCAGTTCCCGTGCATCTGTCAGATCAGTGTGATCTGTCCCTGTGCCTGTGACCTCTTTTGTTCAGGTCCACCATCTTTGGGTCCCCAGTCCTGGCTCCTGTTAAGTATGAAAAAGTTGCAGAGTGGACATCCTTGGGGGAGACTCAGCCAAGCCCTTGCTCCCCTAACTGCCTTGCAGACCACCTCTTCTGTTGCACCATTTTGTTTCAACACAGGACACACTGATGGGATCACAGAGTTTGGGCCTCGGACTTCTAGTCCCCAGACTGTTTGTGCCTGTGCTCTGTGACCTTGGGGAGGTCAGTTTACGTCTCTGGACCTCTACCTTCCTCTGCAAGATGGGGATAACAGCAGGATCTAACTTGGGGTACAGAGAGAGATGTTCTGCCCCTGAAACCATTAGTGCCTCTGGGTACATCTTGCTCCTGCCTCCATGTTTCTGCCCTACCCAGAGGACAAGGGTGAGGCAAGGGTGGCACTAGTGCAAAATTTAAGGGGTGCCAAAAGTTCAGTCATCAAGATAAATCGTATTTTTATGCAATATTAAAAGCTAAAAATCAATGCAAAAAAAAAATCCGTGGAGGACAAATATCATCACTTTAATTACAGCCAGTGTCTGCCCAGGCCCCTTCTCTCTGACTGATTCTTCCTTCACTCCCTTCTTCCCCTCACTGCTGCTCTCCTCTTTGGATGCCCACTCCTGGCTCCCACCTCAGGGAGCTCCCCATATTCCCACCATAACTCTTTTGGCTCCTTACCTGTCTCATAGGCTTCGAAAGCTGGACAAGCTCCTTCCTGCTGGGGCTGTGCTTGGTGGTGCTGTGTTGGGGACAGCAGGATTTGGGTGCCCACAGCCAGGCTTTGCAGCAGTAGGGGCCAGTGCTGCCTGGGTCAGGGCTCTGCCCCCCCGGGGGCCATCATAGCTCTCTTGGCCTGTCTTGGGCCTCATCTGCCCTCAGGGTGGAAGCTTGGCTTGAACTTCCTGGAGAGGGGCCACCAGTCCCTCTTGCTGACAGCAGCTTTCCCAGTGTTCCTGGCCCACATGACCCTGTCTTCTGCCTGGGCCTTCTCTGGTCCCTACACCCAGTGCCCAGCCCTCTCCAGGGCTCATGGCTATTACCCCTGGGGATCTCCTTCAGAGTGAAATCTGCCAACTGCCCTGCTGTGGTCACATACTGGGCTCCACCTCCTCCCATTGAAGTCCGCCCACAGTTCCTGCTCCTGGGGCCCTGGGTGGGGCCTACCTGACCTACCTTATTTCCCTCTTCCCCAAGGGTGTCCCAGATCTATGGGGCATCTCTCTGGGGCTTGAAGGGGCCACAGGGAGCAGCTGAGTGCCCAGTGGATCAAGAATCACCAAGGCCTGATTCACTGAGGTGGAGCTGGGGCTAGGGATTCTCTCTCTCTCTCTCTCTCTCTCTCTCTCTTTTTTAAAGAGTTTATTTATTTAACAGACAGAGATCACAAGTAGGCAGAGAGGCAGGCAGAGAGAGGGGGGAAGCAGGCTCTCCACAGAGCAGAGAGCCCGATGTGGGGCTCGATCCCAGGACCCTGAGATCATGACCTGAGCCGAAGGCAGAGGCTTTAACCCACTGAGCCATCCAGGCGCCCCTAGGGATTCTCTTCTGACAAGTCCCCCAGGCTGGGTCCCTTCACACTCCAGTTCCTTGGCAGGTTTGGTCAAGAATGGCTGTTTCGCCTTTGGTCATCTCAGCTTCTCAGCCAGACAAGGGCCCTGCAGGGAGTGATTCTATATCCCTCACTCAAAGAGTAACATCAGGCTCAAGAATGTTGAAGCCTTCCAGACTTAGGTCACTCTGGACCTCAGTTTCCTCATCTGTAAAATGGACAGATTTTAGATTATGATTTAGATTTAGATTATTATTCAGCAGGGCAGTCATGATGAATGAAATCATGTGACTGCTAAGCCCCGATGTAGCAGGTGTTGACTGACTGCCCTTCGGATTTGGGCTTTAGAACAACCGTTGGCACGTCATGGGGGCAAGTGTGCCTGCTTTACAGGTGAAAAAAGTAAAGTCCATTGAAAGTGAATGCAGGAGCCAAGGTCATTCTGGGAGTGGGCTGCAGAGTGATCAAGAATCTAGGAGTGAGCTCGTTCCCTGCACTTCAGCCCTCTGTCCACCTGGAAGGCTCATGCTTTGCTTACAAGGGAGCCAGGATATAGGCTCTGTTGGGCAGGGGTGCAGGAGGGATGGGCTGCACAGGTGCTTTGGGTTGGAGTCCGTTGGAAAGCCCAGGAATATAAAACCTAATGCAATGAGACTGACGCAGGAAACGGGGCCAACTGGTGGCTGGGCTGAGATTGTCTTGCCCATTTGAGGATGAGGAAATTGATGTTCAAGCAGATTCTATGCAGAGGTCTGGCCCTGGCATGGCTCCAGAACATGCTTTGTTGATGATGACCCCACTCTCCGGGCCTAGTGAAGTCACACAGCTCAGTGCAGAGCAGTGACAGAATCCCGCCTGTCACCCAGCACCTCCTCTCTTGCTTTCCAGTTGCCTTTTCTGCTGCAAGGTCTTTCATACACCTGCTCAAATCTGGGTTTGCAGCTTCTCATTTCTATGTCAGCAACTCTAAAAGAGGCCTCCCAGGGCCTGCCTAAGTGACTTTCCTGGGAGGTCCCTTTAATAGTTGTCTGGCCCATGTTTTGAGTCAAGCAGTCTTTAATTTTCCTGCTACATTTGGCGAAGATTGTCCTTTCCATGGGTTGAAGGCCATGCCTCTGACCTTGGCACCATGAGGGCTGGGGAAGGATGGGTTTCAGTGGTCCAGGCTGAAGCTGTTCCCTTCCAGCATCCCTGTGTGGGTGTGAAACTCACTTGCTACCTAAGGCCCAGAAGTTGTGGTCCTCCAGGGGACAGTCCCAAGTCTTGGGAAGAAAAAGGGGCTTTCCCTACAGGCTGCACCTGCCACAGCCTCTGGGCAGCCACCATCACAGACCACATCCTATTGTGGTGGCTGTGGTCAGAAATCTGGGCCTGGGCTGTTTCCTGGAGGACTCTTGAGGGATGGGCTGGTCTTCCCAGCTGGTGCAGCTGCAGCTCTGGCCCACTCAAGCCTGCCCCTCACATCGTCCCTGGATTGAGATGTGTCAAGGGCTGGATTCACATTGGGCCAGAGGAGTCCAGGTATGGCTGTCCTGGTGGGCTCCCTGCTGAGGGTCCCTGGCTCCTCTGTCCTCTGCCCCAGCCCTCCTCTCATGGAGTGGAAGGGTTGTGCCCCTGTCCAGTCACTTCAGCCCTGCTTCCCATGTCAGAGGGTTCCCCCTGCCTCCTGCTGATCAGTCTCCTGCCCACTCTCTATTCCACAGACCTCAGAGACTGCCTGTGACCAGGTCTCCTCAGCTCCTTGCTCCCTTCCATGCCAAACTCAAGTTGGCTGGGCCTTTTCATCTCACTGTTGTTCTGGGGTGTGTGTGTGTGTGTGTGTGTGTGTGTGTGTGTGTCACAAAGTATCTGTCCGGGGATGCGACAAGTGTTCTGGAATCTCTCAGAATCCTCAGAGTCAGGGTCTGGCTCTGCAGCTCCTGAGCCCCCCCTCCAAAGGGTCCCCGGGAACCCTGAAGACCTCCGCACCTCTGGCGATCCTGAGGGGCAGTCTCACCTCACCCCCAGCTTTCCTCCAGCAAATGGAAAGGGAATTCTACTGCTTCTCTAGATGTCACAGACTCACCATGCTGGTGGGGACCTTCTAGCTCCTTCAACTGATAAAGAAACTGCAGCACAGAGAGGGAGAGTTTCTTTCCCAAGACACACAACAACCTGGTGTAAACATGGTGTTCGGGAACTTACCAGTACCATTCTGAGACCTGGGAGGACCATCCTTTCTCTTTTCTTTTCTTTTCTTTTTTCTTTTCTTTTCTTTTCTTTTCTTTTCTATTCTTTTCCTTTCCTTTCTTTTCTTCTTTCTTTCTTTTCTTCTTTCTTTCTTTCTTTCTTTCTTTCTTTCTTTCTTTCTTTCTTTCTTTCTTTCTTTCTTTCTTCTTTCTCTTTCTTTCTTTTTCACATGAGGTGGGGCCAACCTGGAACTGAAGGGTGGGGATGCTTCGGAACATTTAGGTGCTTTAACCTCTAAGGCTCCTAATCTAGTCGCCTGGAGTGCAGCCCCAAGAGGACAGTCCAATAGGGGGCAGCAGAGACCAGCAATAGAAGGAGGCTAAACCCTACAAAGGGCTGGAGCTCCGGAGGGGTTGCAGGGGAGGCCACGGAAGGGTTCCAGCAGTGGGGCAGGTGGGAGGGTGCAGAGGCTGGACTCTGGTTCTTCATCTTCCCTGACGCCCACCTCACCCCTGGAACCAACACTTGGGGGTGGGGTGGGGAGGCGAGTGAATCGAGTCAGTCCAGGGTAGGGTAGGATCCTGACCTGACTCACAGTTTTGCATGGAGTTTTTCTGCATTCATTACGATTTTAAAAAATACTGCATTAGATACTATTTATCTTGATTACTGAGTTTTGGGGTCCTTAATTTTACACGCAACGACAGTGTCTTACTCTGCTCACACTAATCCTGGCTGTGTCCGGAACTCTGAGAAACCTATTGAGGGAGTGGGGGTTAAGCGGAGGGCCGGGTTCTGGAGTGGGTGTGGCCAGCGCCCTGAGGTTCCAGCCTCATCTGACCAGGTGGGTTGATATTTGCATAGCGAATCCCTGTTTTCCAGGCCCTTTCCAAAGTCGGATTGATACCTGGGAGCATGGTGAGGACCTGCATGGCAGGTGGTGGCTTTGTAGCAGCCACAGCTCTTTCAACTGTCTACCAGCAACAATCATCCTGGCAGGTCCTCATCCGGTCAAGGCACCTCCTTAGAGAGTGGTACAATCTCCTTTACTACATTCATAGAAAGCACTCCATCCTGATGGCTACCAATACTAGTGTAATTTATATCTGATTCTGATGTCATTATTCTCCAAAGCTCACACACCCTCATATCTATTTATAAATCTGTGTGGCACAACATAGTAACTGTTGCATTGTATGTTGCAAACTAAATATGGACAAATAGCCTAGCGACCAACTTCGTTCATAAAAAATTATTATAAAATGGATAATCACATAATATCAACATCATTTTATTGCTTGACCATGTCTCCAGACACATCTTTTGATTTTTAATGATTTTATAATATTCCCCCAAATACCCACCCAGATGTTTACATGTGTTGACAAATACAGCCAGATGATTACTAACAGAAGCACATCTGAATAGTATCTTTGACAGTGAGGACTGGATTTGTCATTTAGATAACACAGTGGGGCTTCTCCCAGATTGAATGGTTCAAGTCGGCACCACCAAGTTTTGAAGGAAAAATATACCTGCAGCACATGAGAAGATGAAAGCATGTTTCTCAAAAAAAAAAAAAAAAAAAAAAAGGAAAAAAAAATACTGTGTTTGCGAAGATGCAAGACGATTACAGATTTTAATTTTTTTCCCAGTCTTCTAAACTCTATCATGCACGAGAGGTCTCTTAGTAACTTCCAGTCAAGTTTCTTGGTGCGTGTCCCTGATATGAACCTGGGAAAGTGGACAACAAATGGCTGGGTGACACCTCTGTGCAGGGAGCTGATTCTGGGATGGAGCCAGACTGCAGGAGGTTTATAGAGAATGCTTGGGACCAACCCATGTGCAAGGGATGGGTGCGAAGCAGAGTGGGCAGAGGAAGGAATCAGCTATAGTGGAGCTTTGCTGTTGGGATGGTCTTTCTCAGCTTCCCCAAGTGGGCTGAGAGGCTTGGTCTTCACACCCTCACACTCATCAGCTTTCAGAGGCCAGCTGTTCAGGGCAGGAACACGGCTCGGCTCTGGGTGGCTCTCTTCATCAAGGGAGCTGACAGATGAGGGCAGGGATGTTTGCAGGCATCTCTCCCAGCAGATGAGGTGATAAACCCTTCATTCCAGAAAGGGTCAAGTGGTGCATCAAACTGCCTACCCGTTCAAATCCTCTCAAAGGCAGGTGGCTTCCAATTCTTTGCTTTCAGCAAAATTAAAAGTATTTGAGATAGAGCTGCAAGCTAATAGACAATTGAAAAAAATAATTTTTGACCATCAACCACTAATGATTTTTGGCATATAATTAGGAAGAAGCTCAGATCCGTGAGTGAAATTCTATTACAAAACTTCTGTTTATGAGGTGAAGGTTTCTTTGGGGTTCACGTAAAAATGAAAGCCAGAACAGAATAGATGCAGGGCCTTGCTTCATGCTGGCAGGACCTCATATTCATCAATGGATTCACAAACTGACACTACTTAATGATTATCTGTGTAAATTTTAATATGTTTTTGTTGTTTCAATTACATACTGCTATGAATAATTAAGATGCCAACTCAGTGTGGCAGAAAATACTTTTAACGCTCAAGGTCACAGGCTGTGAAACTGAATTTTAGAATGTAAACTTAATGTATATTTTTAGGACAGAAATGCATGACAGGATAATGAATAAAAGACTCAGGTGTAAAAATGTATGAGCAGATCAAACTCAGTGCAGGGTATGGAGTGAAAACAAAGTTCAAGATGAGGGAAGAAAGATGGAAAATTTCCAAATGTTAGAGAAGAATTTTCAAAAAGAGTGGGCGTCAATCATGATGATACTCACATTCTCTCTCTACATATAGAAGAACGTTGAGAACGTTTTACAAACTTATGGTCAAAACCTTACAGGTCTACTTACAAAGCAGCAGGGAGCTTGAACCCCGATTCTTGGAAGGTGGGTGGGCCATGCTGCCAAGTGTTCAGCTGCAGGCCCTGTCCCCCTCCCCAAAGGAGGCTCGTCTCTAATGCATAAATGTCCTGGGTCTCAGCGCAAATCAACAAGCAGGACTGCCATGAGCTGGAGGCCAGCTAGTAGCTGTTTCCTTCCCTTCCAATATATTTTTTTAAAATTTTAACAAGATTGTATTTATTTATTTGACAGAGAGATAGAGAGAGAGTAAGAGAAAGAGAGAGAGAGTGCACAAATAGGCTGAGGGGCAGGCAGAGGGAGAGGGAGAGGGAGAAGCAGACTCTCCACTGAGCAGGGAGCCCGATATGGGGCTCGATTCCAGGACCCTGGAATCATGACCTGAGCCGAAGGCAGTTGCTTAACTGACTGAGCCACCCAGGCGCCCCTCCTTCCAGTATCCTGACTCCTCTGATCAGTCCTGAGGGAAGCGAGCGAGGAGCTAAACCTGGGGAGGGAACAAAGCAGTCCCAGGGATCAGCTAGTAGGGGGACATCTGGACCCACAGGGCGCTGATGACAGCCTCTATGACTCAAAACAGGCCCATACCTGCCATTTCTCAGTAGGATAAACAGAGGCCCCGAGAGGGCAAAGAACCTGCTGGAGTCTCCCAACCCTGGAGGGTCGGAGCTGGGACCAGAGAGGATGCCTGGCCCTCAGGCCTGTAGCTGCTCAGACAGCTGGTGAGGGTGTCAGGTCTGGGTAGGAGGGTTTGTGGCTCATTTCCCCATCTGCCTGTGTCACCGTGAGCATTACCACTATTGTCCCACACCTGACAGTAATAGTCAGCCTCATCTGCAGCCTGGGCACCGCTGATGGTCAGGGTGGTCGTGTTCCCCGAGTTGGTTCCTGAGAATTGCTCAGGGATCCCTGAGGGCCGGTTGCTATCACCATAGATAATCAGCAGAGGGGCCTGGCTTGGCTTCTGCTGGTACCAGTAAGCATATTTCCTACCAATGTTGTCTCCCCCACACGTGATCCTGGCTGTCTGTCCCAGGTTCACTGACACCGAGGAGTCCTGAGTCAGCTCATAAGCGACTGTAGAACCTGCAAGAGAGGACATGAGATGTGGGCTTCCATCTGAGGGGACTCTGCTTTCTTGGTCTGGACAGAGCTCCAGGGGTTCTCTTGACCCCCAGAGTTGCCCCTTCCCAGCAATCTCAGCCCAAGGAACCCAGAGCCTTGGATAGAGCCTTTGAAGCAACATGAGCCCCCAGCCCCTTTCTCTGGGCAAGTGCAGTCCCTTAGAGCTCACACAGAGCCAGTAAGCACAGTAGGAGGTTTCGCCCATCTAGCCCCTCATCCTGCAGCAAGGTGAAGAGATTCTGTCCCCTACTAGATCCCAGTGAGCCTGGGCATAGCACCTGTGCAGTGAGCAAGAAGGCCGAGGAGGAGAGGGGTCCAGACCATGGTGGAGGCACCCTGATTCTGCTCCCAAGGCCCAAGGCTGGGCAAAGTTCCTCCCAGGCCTTTCTTATCCCCTTGCTGGACAGACCCGCTGGTTATGCAAATCAGCCAGGCCTCGGGGCTGCTGCTGAGGAGCTTCATGGTTTCAGAAAGGGAAGGGCTCAGCCCCAAGGGGCATAGACTGGAGCGAGGAGTCCCTTGTAGTTCCCACCCTCAGCTCAGGGAATCCCTCTGGTGGTTGTGTAGTCTGGGGCTACAACTCCAGTTTTAGGCTGTGCCCGGGCATAGCTCCTGGGCTATTCTGATTGGAGAAGCAGAGTCTGTTTTCCAGGGAACCTAAGTCCTGCTCACAGAATCCTCCTGGATCCTGTCATCAAGGTGGCCAGAGTCATGGTGGTGATGCTGAGATTGTTCTGGACCCCCAGAACAATCTTTCTATTCCCTCTGTTCCATTCTGGCTCAGGAGGGAGGTGGTTCATATCACCCAGGACTCGTAAGTGTCTCATCCATCCTTGTGTTGTGGTGGAGGCTGCGTGCTGGTCCACTCCCAGCTCCACCTTCAGAACGTTCCATGCTGTGTCTCCTCTGACACTCCCAGGCCCCAATGCAGTGACCTTCCTCATCCCCACTCCAGGAAAACCCTGCATGCTTAGACAGGGGCAGTGTCCTACTGCAGATCACAGTTTGTGAGCTGTGAACATCAGAATCTGAGTAAAATTCCTCTCTTGCCAGGGGCACATGGGGCTGTTAAAGGTCCATGGAGGTGCTGTGTCTGCTCCTGGACAGGTGGTGGTGCCAATTTCTCAGAATCTCCGATGTGCCCTGGCTAAGGCAGAGACACATTATGTGCTCAAAAGATACGACTTGAGTATAAGAGAATGAAATTTGGTAGTGAATTATAAGAATGCCTCATGCGAAATTAAAATTACTTTTTAAATTTCAGTTGCTAGCAAAAATGCATTAAGTAATAAAAATTGTTATAATTTATGAGGTTGAGTAATGGTTATTGTATCCCTGGAGTGGAAAAAGAAAAAGGAAAAAAATTGGCACCAGCCTCCTGGAGACAGAGGGGGAAAGGAGGAACTCCTTGTAGTAGGACAAGGAAGCTCTCAGAGCAAAGAGGAGGGGTGGGGGAGGGATGTGTGTCTTCAGTGGGAGGGGTGTTTATAGACTTTTGAGAGCTTCCGCACCACTGGGGTGTGTGTAAGAGATTGAAGTTCCAAATCTGTGCCAGATAAATGGGTAATTACTGCAAGATTTGGATCAGCATAAGAAAGAGCCAAAAGATTTTGTACATTAGTGTCAAACATGATACTAATGAATCATGAAGGATTCATCAAGAAGGAAGACAACTTTTCCTTCAGATCTCAGGTCATGATAACTAACACCCCCTGCATGTTAGAACCCCTGATGCCAGGCCCACCCCATCACCAGGTGGCTAGCCAGGTGATCTCTGCTGCCCCCTGGGCTGTGACAAAAGCACAGGTGGTTCACGCCGAGTCGGGATGCTGTACATACTTTCAGCAGATCATATGTTAGACCTAGGTGGTATTGCTTCTCTCTGGGTCAGGATTCATGGGTCTAGGAACCGGGGTGGAAATGGGAATGGCAGCACTCACTCTTATCCCCAGTGGGCCACCAGCAAAATGTTCCCTTCTCATCTCTGGCACTTTGCTCTCTGACTGACTGCCCTGCACTTGCTGGTTGAGACAGCTCTGTGGCCCTTCCTGGCTCCTCCTTGTAGTGAGGCACCGGGAAAAGTAGGGGACACTGGCTGCTGTGGCTCATGGTGACTATCATGGGGGACTTGGGTACCTACTACCCATTTGGGTTTGGCAGGTAGGTGTATAGATTCAGAAGATCCCCTAATACTCCCTGGGGCTGCAATTACAGTCATATATTCACCACAATCCAATGCAGCAGATCTAATAATGGACAAATCTTCCAGAATGAAGGTTTGATTGTCCCAACTGGCAGAGCTGATGACTAGCTCAAGTCTTTGCTGAGGGAAGGGGAATGTGGGGTGGGCAGGTCACTGCTTGACCATAGGTGGTGAAGAAATGAGCAGGATACAAGGACAAGTGTTTCTTCCTCATAATGACATGAATATGTTTGGATATATATTAACCATATGCTTTTGTTTTATTCTTCTGTCTTATCCCATTATTATCTAACAACAGATGTGTTAATAGTTAACTTTATATCTCAATATAGAAATTAGAGGATATCAGATCAGCTGGGACAAAAGCAATCATCACTGCAGACAACAGTATATTTTGATTCCTCTTGTGGGGAAAGGGTGAGTGTGTTTGTAATTGTTCATTGGATGGATTCATCATATTAGGTGGAAGAAAAGTTACCAATATTTTCTTCATTTAGAGCCTGTGGTTAGCCTGGGTTGGGTTGATTTCATGTGAATGAGGGGTGGACTGGATGGCTTATTAAGTGTCAACATTGACAAGCTGATTGTATCCACAGAATTGTCTGTCCATATTTCTGGGTAGGATGGAGGTAGAGAGATTCTTGTGCAAGATGTGGTGGGGGTAGAAGTGAGGCAGCACCCATCATGGGTCTCACTCCTGTGATTGAGTCTCATCTGGCCACTCTGGAGGAGGAGACAACTCTCCCAATTGCTCTCATTCACCATCAGGATAGATGTGACTCTCCGACTGTCTGTCAGAACCCAGATCACCTAGTGTGTCTGCACCTTTTTCATTGTTTAAAAACACAGGGAATGAACTGATCTGTTGGGGATTTTGACACACGTAATGGGGTTTAGGGGGACAAACCAGAGCTTTGCGGGTAAAAATAGCCTTCTCAGATCCCTGAGAACCCTTTTGGAGGTGCCGGCCTTCCTGCATTGGGTTCCTGGAAGCAAACTCTGACATGGAGAAGTGCTCTGGGGAGGTCAGCCTGGGCAGAAGCAAAAGGGACCCATAGCGAGCCATCAGATGAGGTCTCCTCCCTGCAGGGACCTCTCAACCGTTTAGGACATCTGAACCTGAGGAAGGGTCTTGAGATCTTGGACTCAGGCCATCGTTCAAGAGAATCTCTCTGAGAAGGGTCAGAAACCTGGGGGGAAGCCATCTTCTGAACCAAGAGCACTTCCCAGCAAGGAGCTTCCCTGTGAGCTGCCAGGGGCCTCAGACAAAATGGGGGTGTGTATGAGCCCAGAAGAGGGGTGGCCTCAGTGGGTAATGCACTGGTCTGCTCCACTCAGAATCCCCAGCTGCCATGCCGGCAGGGATTCAGGAGCTCAGCTGAGCTGGAAAATTCCAGACTCTAATCCTGGTCAGTGAAGGGGTGGCCCATGGCCACCATATGGAAATGCACGGTCAATGACCATGGATGGAGGTTCTTTCAGCTTGTCCTTCCACCCAGGCCCTCCAATTCCAAACACACTCAGGCCCAGACAATCTCAGGAGCCCCAAATCAACCCTGATATACCCTATACAGGTACTGCCTGAAGGGTAGGGTGGCTAGTGAGGTCTGGGGACCTTGGGTCTGGGGACCTAGGTCAGAGCTGCTCACTGCTCTGTGCACAGGCCTCCTGGGGATAGAGGAGAGTGTGACACAGATGGGGAAGGGATTGTGTCTCACTTCCCTGTCTGCCTGTGTCACCGTGAGCAGTACCAGTGCCCCCTGATGACTGACAGTAATAGTCAGCCTCATCCTTGGCCCGGGCCCCGCTGATGGTCAGGGTGTGTGTGTTCCCTGAACTGGAGCCAGAGAATCGGTCAGGGATCCCTGAGGGCCGTTCAGTGTCCTTATAAATGACCAGCTTGGGTGTTTCGTCTGGCTTTTGCTGGTACCATTGTGCATAGTATTTGCTCAGTACTTCTCCAGAGCAGGTGATGGTAGCCGTCTGTCCCAGGGACACGGACACCGAAGGATGCTGAATCAGAGCACTGGAGGCCATGGAGCCTGAAAAGACAGAAGAGGAGAGGTTGATGTGAGGTTCAGGGGCTCCTCCTAGGGAACCAATCTTGAGCCTGTGCTGGTCTGAGCTCAGGGTTCATTTCAGACGCAACTCAATTCTTTGGGGACTGAGCATGTGGCAGCCCTGGGGGCAGCACCTGTGCAGAGAGTGAGGATGGGGAGCAGAAGAGAGGTGAAGGCCATGGTGGATGTGCCCAGAGCTCTGCCTCCTAAGACCCACAAACCTGCTGGGCTCTACCCCAGGCTCTTTAATTCCCTTCCAGGCTCTTGGGACTGTGATTGTTAGTACTTATGCAAATTTCCTCCATTTCTGGGCTTCTACATGATAAACCAGTGGTGAGATCAGAACATGTGACTGAGGAGGCAGAGGGGAGCCCCCAGATTCCTCCAACCAGCTCTCAGTTCAGACCATCAGCCTTTGTCTGCAGGGTCTGGGATCATAGGCACTTTCTGGGGATCAGACCACATAACTAACTCCCTGTGCCTACCCTGCTGGCCATCTGTCCTTGGCTCCCTCTGTGGTCTTTCAGGAGCCTGGCCGTGGGGCTGGGCTGAGCCCTCTGAGAGTACAGGCAATACCTGATATAGGGAGGGTGGTCCTGTGGCCTCATTACATTCCTCATCCTCCTGTGTGTTGTCCCCTCTGTTTCCCCAGAAGCACTGTGATTCCATGCTTCCCATGTCATTAAATTGTGGAACTTTCTCATTAGTATTTTTGTGCATCATTTTGTCTGTGGGAGTTCACTAGTTAACCCACCACCTGCTGTTGGAGATGCATCACATCTTCTAGTCTATAGTCACATGGTGATTTTGTCTCTGTGACTGATACCCCCATCCTAAACAGAGGAGCAATTGACATTGTCAATAATTTTCTTTTATTTTTTCATCAGTATTAGATACAGTCATGCAAATTTCATGAGAAACCATCCCTGAGTTAAAAAACCACCATCAAGCTCCATGTCTTGTCAGGGTCCCCAGGGTCATGTTTTCCCACTTGGGGT